TGCTCATATATGGGTATGATGATGTCATATCACACCCATATATGGGTATTCACAGGTATAGAAGTGAGTGAACAGGGCTTTTTATTTTAATATTTATTTATTTCTTCTGTACCCTGGATAAACTGATCAGTGTAAAAGCATTGTTATCGTCCAGGGCACAGCAAAAGGCTTCACATATTTTCAGCATTTCTGCCCATGATATTGTGTACCAATACCTTCAATTTATGCAATTTCTCTTTGTCTGGTCCATGGTGATGCATCCAGTAAACTAGCCATCACTGCATGCTTGCACATTGGTACCTAGTGTCTACCCTGGACCCTGGACCCTGGGTGCTTGTCTAGGCCTTCCTTGGAGTTACTCTTATCAGTCTAGTGATGATCTGACAGGTCAGTGAAGCATGCACCCAGCTGTCTGTCTCATCAGTTATCTGCTGAATTTCCTTTATTGTGTATTACTATTAGTAACTGTGGATATCAGTGACTGGTAAATGATTTAATTCTGGTTACCCACTTTGGAAGATGAAAAAATACACTTCTTTTGATATCTTTTATTTGCGATATGATAAGAGTCGGCCTTCAGAATGTTCAGTGCATATATACTGTAAATAATAATAATATTGATAATATTATCAATTAATTAATCAATCGATCAGTCGATCATTCAGTCAACCAATCAGTATTCTGGAAGTTACCGTCAATAATACATATCTAGTAGGTCTAGGTTTAGTAAATAGGTTGTCCATAGTTTATGCCTTGTAAAATTTTTATTGTAATATATTTGTTCTCATGTGGGTGTTATTGTTCAAAATTGAAAAATAATGAGTTTTTAAAAAATACTTTTTTCTGAAAAGGATTGCTAATGGAAAAGTAATAGTAACAAATGTATTTTTTATCCCTGAAGAAGTGCAAATAATGTAAGGATGGTTTAGTATATTTCATTCTAAAAATGTTCAGTTGCCAATGGTACAATCTAAAATTAAGAAGAGACTATACACACTGATAATGGAATATTAATTTGTTTACCACCCATCAACAGAAGGTTGCATTAGCAGATTCATTTGATGCATTTGTAAAGTACTGCATTGGTCTTTTACGGAAGCAACGAGACGTATTTCCACCACACAAGAAAAATGTATCAAGACTTGAATGGCTTCTCAAGTAAGTATATGTGGCAAAGACAAGCCAAACCAGTCACTCGTCGCAAAAATCGATTTTGTGTTATTAATACAGTGTTAGAGAGTAAAATAATAGCTATAAAATAGTAAAAAAATTATTCAAATCGGACATTTCCTTATGAAGTTACAAGCGTTTAACCACACAGCTGTTTAAAGAACAATATATGAGAAATCAGCCTTCAAAGTTTATAATTTTAGGCATTTCGTATGCAGAAACTATCTTTAAATTCTTAAAAAGTGTTGTTTTGACATTCAAAATGGGGAAAATAACAGCATAGAATGATGTGTAGATATATAAAGTTTAGTTTAGTGCAATAAATTAGATTTTTTAAAATTTGACATTCCAGCATGTTTTGGCCATTTTCTCTGAAACACGATTTGCGACGGGTGACTGGCTTGGCTTGTCTTTGCCACATATATTAATAAAAAGGGTTGTTTTAACATTGAAAATGGGGAAAATAACAGCATAGAATGATGTGTAGACATATAAAGTTTAGTTTAGTGCAATAAATTAGATTTTTTTAAATTTGACATTCCATGTTTTTGCCATTTTCTCTGAAACACGATTTGCGACGAGTGACTGGTTTGGCTTGTCTTTGCCACATATATTAATAACCAGTTATTCAATTTTGTAATACTGGACAAATATGCCTAGGGACCCTTTTTCTGGGCACTTATCCAAGGGACCGGATCCTCTTGCCTATGCAACGTAACCATGGGACACACACTGGCTAGGCACCTTATAATATCGGAAAGACGAGTATTAACATTAATAATGTTAAAATGTTGCAGTGCATTGGTATTTAATCTGAGTGATTTCCTACTTTTACTTTGAGGGGAAATAGACAGTGTGGGTATTGCCTTTTGTCTAAAGACAAATAATTGATCAGCTTCATATTCGAACCCCTGATGTTAGATTAGAAGCCTATAACAGCCTTAATAATGCATCATATTTTACCATGTATGTCCAGACATCGATATATAAGGGAGCTAGGTCTAGCAGCTCATCAAAAGGAGATATGAGTATTAAAATCATCTGACACGATGACTCAAGATCCTAACTAGCCTCTGTATTATTCTTATAATGTTATTCAGCTATATGTGTACAGTCACTAGAGCGGGTTGCCTTGTGTCATGTATAACTGCAGAAAACACGTTTTTATGTGGTTTCTGGTAATGACAGCCAATTTAAAAATAGGCACAGATTGAGAGTCCATTAGTAAACATTCAATGTGATCTGTTATCGTGCTGTCCAAATTATATTCTGTTTTTGACTGTATCATTTTTGTAATATTATAATATCAATTGTTAAGGTGATTGATTGATTTAAAAAACAGGAGCAGGCTAGTTTTCCCCCTACAGTTTTCCCAGTGACATTTCCCCCAGACTTTGCCCCCCCCCAGGACTTTTTCCCCCACCGTGTTACTTCTTCTCATATATAATTTCAATTATACATTTTGATTTATAATCCTGCTTCTCAAACTATGGGTCGCGACCCAAATTTTGGTCACCAAAACAGTAAGGTCACAGGAAATTGCTGATAAAAAAAGTTTTGAAATGAACTTTTCGGAAAGTTCATTTCAAAACATAAATGTAAAATAAGGGTTGATAAGATCATTAAGAAACAGAAGCTCACATTAACAGGTAAAAACATGTGTAGGTTTATCATTTATTGCTTAAAGTTTAATTTGTTTTTTTTATTTCCATCTCAAGATGTCTACAGCACCTGCAAGCATTAGAAATTTATAAGAAATTGTGTCCGGCACAAACAGATATACAGTCCCAGATCATTAACGGTATTCAGGTAAGTAATAATTTTATAATATAAACAAGTTTTCACACTGGTGATTTGAAGCAGGTGAATGTGCATATAGAACACAGGTGGGCAAAGTGCGGCCCGGCAGCGATTTTTTTGCGGCGAAAATGAATTAAAAACCCTCTGTGTGCGGTCCGCCAAGCAACATTGACTAGAAAACACCTTGTTTTTTACGGCCCAACACCGATCATATATAAAAAGTAATAATTAAAACTGAGAATAACGTGTTGTAAAAGCAGTGCTTGGAGGTTTTTAGAAGCACACTGGAAACTAAAACTACATTAAAAATTGCAATAATCAAAACCAAAGCTAAAAGATGGCAATTTTAATGAAAATAAAACTGCATTTTATTTTAACTTTTCCTTTCAGTTGAAAACAAGCCAAGTCTTGGATTTTTTTCTAAAAATCTATTTGTAACCTTTATATGCCAAATGATAGGGTGCTTTCTCCAAGTTCAGTGTGTATTTTAATAGCATAACATTGGTACCATCCTGTTAAGGATACAGTATGTGGCAAAGACAAGCCAATTAAACCAGTCACTCCTCACAAAAAATAGATTTTTAGTTTTTTAATGGTTAATCATTAAAATGAAGTTTAACATTGAAAATAACAACATAGCATGATGTAGCTGTATGAAGTTTAATTTATAATATAATAAAAAAGATTTCGAAAATCTTGATCTTGAAAACATGATTTCCGTAGAGTGTCTTTGCCACATATTTTGTAGTATAATTAATTTAAGGAGGATATTTTTGTTTTTAATTTTTAATCAGGGTTGTGTAATGATTATCAACATTAAACCCTTCATTGCCTTCCATGGTTTCCTGTGAGTCAATGTTTTGTAGGACGTTTTTTAGGACAATTTTTTGCTGTATACTTGACCTTGTTAGCAATTTGATAATTGCTGTTATAATAATAATAATAATAATAATAATAATAATAATAATAACTTTATTGGAACGTACCCTTTTCAACTAGTAACAGTGTACTACGGATTTCATAATGCAGGTCACCCTCTCATTAATGACCCCTGCCCTCTAATTAAAGACCACCTCCAATTAAAGACCATTTTCTGTGGTCCCATATTAACAAATGTCTATTTTCTTTATTATTCTAATTAGAGACCAAAGCAGTTAAAGACCATGGAAACTTCAGTCACAAAAGTGGTCCTTAATTGGAGGGAGACCTGTAATATTAATTTTTTAAATTTTTTTTAGGGGCCTAGATCCCCTTCCACACTGTGCTTGCTCCCACACTGTGCTTGCCTCCCCCTGGCACCATCCCTGTTGCTTAACTTACTATACTGTGCTATAGTACTTTTTTGCTCCTGCTGTTATTGTTGTCTGTTACCATAAGCAGCCATTGTTTTTTAATTTTGTATTTTATGCTGCAGCTGTTGGTGCTTTTATTAATAATTTTATATAATAGATATCCAACTGTTGCGGTACTATTTATTATGAAAAATATTATACATTTGTATTATACATAGCAAATAAAATAGAGCAAGGGAAGTTTTATGATAGCAGTGTACTTTCCACATAAAGGAAAATGGATTTCAATTGAAGTTGGCTTCCTTATGGAATGGTGCATGTGATTTAAAGTTCACTTCCCTCTAGGAAGTTTATTAATAGCACTGAAGTAGCTGATTTGTAGCTGATGATTAAGAAGCTTGCCTTCCAATCCTGGTTTCAGTTCCTGCAAAGTTGCAAGATTTTTTCACAACCAAAAACAATTTTGCTCCTTAAACACCATAATGGAGACATCATTTATGGATCACACTTTGTTTATGTTTGTCTACAGAGTGGAGTGGCCTGAATAGCTTGCTTGCTTGCTTTTCAATGGTTGGGTTCAATTCCTGTCAGTGTTGCAGATTTTTTTCTCATGACCAAAAACAACTCCACTCCCTAAACCTCATATTGAGATTTAGTTTGTGTAGAGCATCGTGTGTGTGTGAGTTTGTGTTATGCAAGGGATTGAACCTTACGAATGTTGTTTACGAAAATTATATTCAGATTTGTCGAAATTACTTTTATTTGGCGGCGTATCAAATAACAAATCTGGTACCTACCACGCATGAAGCATGTAATAATATGAATGAGATGGTCATTTTATTTAGAATCTTGCGAATTTTATTTATATGAATAATATTGTGTTGGCCTACTGTGTCTAAAACACAAAAAATAGTTACTCAGATTGCATAAATAATAATGAGACGGTCGTATTATTTGAAAATTACAAACATTGGGAAACTTAAGATGAGTTTTGACAATTTTTATTTTCTAAAATTCAATGTTTGTATTCAACCACTGCACTTCTATTCTCCCATCGTACTAATAACAATAAAGACAAACGTGTTTATTCAGATTACGTAACAGTGCTCTAGGAAAAGTCGTAACAGAATTCTAGAAAAGATCGTGAATACACAACTTTAACAGCCATGTGACCCTTTGCAGACTGCAAGTTCCAATTTTTACCAGGAAGTGTATGCTGAGTAAAATCATTCATGCGTAAATTGAGCATTCAAGGAATAATGACATTCGTCTTTTACACGTGAAACCCACGTTGAATACACACAAGTAATGTTGAAACATTCTGTGATCTGTACTGTACAAGTAGGACAGTCATATAATCGCTATTGTCAATCCTTGATGCATGCGCTATGTAAAGGCCATGATTGATTGATTGATTGATTGAATAATTGATTGGTTGTGTGCCTAAATAAGTAAATAAAATAAAAATATAAATAAAGATCCACAGTGTAACATTAAGTAGGATCTGTGGTTTGTCATTGTGTAGTCATCCTATAAATTAGTACTTAAGGGTACTGGATTTTGAATCAATATTAAATAATTCCCTTTTTCTTTTTTTTTTAAAGTATAATGAATTCATTTTTAATTTAATGGGACCTGGCAATATGCACTCAATAATACCTGGGGCAGATTCAAGGGAGTGGGATGCACCCACCTAAATTGTATTTAGAAAAATAATTGTATTGTATTGTTGATACAAATTATGGGTAGATTTTTAAGGTGTGAGGGTGCAATTTCGAGGCACCTAAAAGTCCATATTCTAACTTTTTTACCCTCAGCCCCAACGAAGGTGGGCCTGAGATGGTGTGGACTTTCAAGCATCCCCCTACCGTTAAATCCTGCATCTGCCCCAGAATACAAACTATTTTATTCTTACATAAATTAAATTATATTATTATTGTAATTTTTTTACTTGTTATAGGAGGGAACAGTGGAATGGTTCCATAGGATTCATGCATTCTCGGAGCCTGGTACCACCAAGGATGGTGACGTGGTGGCAGCAATGGCGGGACTGACCAATACATTAAACATAGATCTTATTCGCAGCTACAAATACACGGGCAAGTTGTACCAGGCCATGCTACAGATTGATTATTTCAGCATTGCCTACAAAAGTTTTGATAGTCTGGTGAGAAATTATGTTGATTTTTTGTGCTACTGTTTTTTGTAGTAGAGGCTGTTCATTTTTTGTGCTACTGTTTTTTGTAGTTGAGGCTGTTGATTTTTTGTGCTACGGTATTTTGTAGTAGAGGCCGTTGATTTTTTGTGCTACTGTTTTTTGTAGTAGAGGCTGTTGATTTTTTGTGCTACGGTTTTTTGTAGTTGAGGTCGTTGATTTTTTTGTACTACTGTATTTTGTAGTAGAGGTCACCGATTTTTTTGTACTATTGTTTTTTTGTAGTAGAGGTCAAAAGTTTTGATAGTCTGGTGAGAAATTATGTTGATTTTTTTGTGCTACTGTGTTTTGTAGTAGAGGTCGTCATCCATTGAATCGGAGGAATCTCCCAATAATCAGCATAGCCTCCCACACTGCTGTGGACAAGCACATATATCGGGGAAACTAAAAGCCATCTGTTG